ATCCGTCAGTCTCTTGTTCCTGTTTGGGTTCGTATGCGAGGTATCCGTCAGTCTCTTGTTCCTGTTTGGGTTCGTAGCGAGGTATCCGTCAGTCTCTTGTTCCTGTTTGGGTTCGTAGCGAGGTATCCGTCAGTCTCTTGTTCCTGTTTGGGTTCGTAGCGAGGTATCCGTCAGTCTCTTGTTCCTGTTTGGGTTCGTAGCGAGGTATCCGTCAGTCTCTTGTTCCTGTTTGGGTTCGTAGCGAGGTATCCGTCAGTCTCTTGTTCCTGTTTGGGTTCGTAGCGAGGTATCCGTCAGTCTCTTGTTCCTGTTTGGGTTCGTAGCGAGGTATCCGTCAGTCTCTTGTTCCTGTTTGGGTTCGTAGCGAGGTATCCGTCAGTCTCTTGTTCCTGTTTGGGTTCGTAGCGAGGTATCCGTCAGTCTCTTGTTCCTGTTTGGGTTCGTAGCGAGGTATCCGTCAGTCTCTTGTTCCTGGGATTCGTAAGACGAGCAGTGCAAACATATTCCTGAATAATACTCTGTCCTTCCCTCTCATTATTGTCTTTCCACCTCTTCTCTCTGTTCTTTTCCACTTTCCACATGTACACTGGCCTCGCTCGCCTATTTGCGATTAAGGGGGTTCGAATCTCGGCTGATTCCACAAGTTTCCCCGAGTCGTGAGGATTATTGTATTCATCAGTAGAACTTCGTGTAGTTTGCTGTAGCCGCCACCACCTCATCCAAGCAACTCCACTTCCTAACTTCCCTGATGCTGAAGAAATCTTCCTACCATCCCACTCAATCATCTACTTCATTAACTTCAGCTGGTTTTTGATCCTCTTGTAATGTTCTTATTATCCGTCGTTTTATGCTTTCACTCGCTCTTTCCTCTAAGCCTTAATCTACATCTTAAAAGATTAAGGTTATCAAGGTTAGTTCTTGAAGACTCTTCCCTCGTGCGTTAGCTAGTTCACCCCTTGAGGGCTAGTCCAGCCCTTGAGGGCTAGTCTGCTTAAGCTCTTGCTAGCGCGCGCGCGCACACACGTGTGTGTGTGTGTGGTGTGTGTGTGTGTGTGTGTGTGTGTGTGTGTGTGTGTGTGTGTGTGTGTGTGTGTGTGTGTGTGTACGTACTCACCTTTTTTAAAGATTGGGACTACATTTGCTGTCTTCCATGCCTCAGGCAATCTCCCTGTTTCGATAGATGTATTGCATATTGTTAGGGGTACACACAGCGCTTCTGCTCCCTCTCTCAGGACTCGTGGAGAGATGTTATCCGGCCCCATTGCCTTTGAGGTATCTAGCTCACTCAGAAGCCTCTTCACTTCTTCCTCGGTTGTGTGTACTGTGTCCAGCACTTGGTGGTGTGCCCCACCTCTCCGTCTTTCTGGAGCCCCTTCTGTCTTCTCTGTGAACATTTCTTTTAATTTCTTGTTGAGTTCCTCACATACTTCACGGTCATTTCTTGTCTCTCCTCCTTCCTTCCTTAGCCTGATTACCTGGTCCTTGACTGTTGTTTTCCTCCTGATGTGGTTGTATAACAGCTTCGGGTCAGATTTGGCTTTCGCTGCTATGTCGTTTTCATATTGTCGTTGGGCCTCCCTTCTTATCTGTGCATATTCATTTCTGACTCTACGACTGCTCTCCTTATTCTCCTGGGTCCTTTGTCTTCTATATTTCTTCCATTCCCTAGCACATTCTGTTTTTTGCCTCCCTGCACGTTTGGGCGAACCATGGGCTCATCCTGGCTTTTTCATTATTCCTGTTACCCTTGGGTACAAACCTCTACTTAGCCTCCTTGCACATGGTTGTTACATATTCCATCATCTCATTAACTGGCTTCCCTGCCAGTTCTCTGTCCCATTGAACCCCATTCAGGAAGTTCCTCATTCCTGTGTAGTCCCCTTTCTTGTAGTTTGGCTTTATTCGCCTTGGCCTTCCTGCTTCCCCCTCCACCTGTAGCTCTACTGTGTATTCGAAGCTTAAAACCACATGATCGCTGGCCCCAAGTGGTCTTTTGTATGTGATGTCCTCAATATCTGCACCACTCAAGTGGAATACTAGGTCCAGTCTTGCTGGTTCATCCTCTCCTCCCTCTCCCTCTCTCTCTCTCTCTCTCTCTCTCTCCCCCTCTCTCTCTCCCCCCCTCTCTTCTCTCTCTCTCTCTCCTCTCTCTCCCCTCCTCTCTCTCTCCTCCCCCCTCTCTCCTCTCTCTCTCCTCTCTCTCTCTCTCTCTCTCTCTCTCTCTCTCTCTCTCCTCTCTCTCTCTCTCTCTCTCTCTCTCTCTCTCTCTCTCTTGTAGTGTCCCTTACGTGTTGGTACATGAAGTTTTCCAGTACCACCTCCAACATCTTAGCCCTCCATGTATCTTGGCCCCCATGTGGCTCCAAGTTCTCCCAAACGATTTCCTTGTGGTTAAAGTCACCCATGATCAGGAGCTTTGCCCTGCATGCATGAGCTCTTCTGGCCACTGCAGCCAGTGTGTCAACCATCGCTCTATTGCTCTCATCATACTCTTCCCTTGGCCTCCTGCTGTTCTGTGGTGGGTTATACATCACTGCAATTACCACTTAGGGACCTCCAGAGTGAAGCGTTCCTGCTATGTAATCGCTTGCTTCTCCGCTGTCTCCTCTCTCCAGCTCTATCAAAATTCCATCGGTTTTTGATCAGCAGTGCCACTCCTCCACCCCCTTCCCCCTGTTCCCTCTGTCTTTCCTCAGGATCTGGTATCCCGTTGGAAAGATGGCATGTGGTGTGTGTGTGTGTGTGTGTGTGTGTGTGTGTGTGTGTGTGTGTGTGTGTGTGTGTGTGTTGCATGCAGTTGCTACAAACCTTACATGCGTTATACCTTCGACGAGTTTCGATAGTTTTTCTACTCCCAGACCGTCGCGTTAGCCACTGGACCAGCTAGCCACAGTAAGATTCGTCCAACTAAGTATATTTCTACACCATAGGAAGGTTAGCATAGGCACCACTGACCACAAATGCAAGTTTTTACAGACCAATCTCCAGCTAGCGTGGCCGTGACGAACTCTAGCTCAAGTCCCCTCAAAGCCGTCATGACTCGTGTCATTACGATTTCGTGAGTCGTGTTGACGGTTTTGAGGGGACTTGAGCTCGAGTTCGTCACGGCCACGCTATCTGGAGATTAGTCTGTAAAAACTTGCATTTGTGGTCACAGTGGTGCCTGTGCTAACCTTCCTATGGTGTAGAAATATACCTAGTTGGACGAATCTTATTGTGGCTAGCTGGTCCAGTGGCTAACGCGACGGTCTGGAGTTTTGAGACACTAATCGCGGGTTCCAGCCCCGTCCGTGGTATGGTTTAAATATAAAAGTGTTGATCCGAGAGAGTAGCTCATTTCCCTTTGATCAAAAGATGTTCAATGCGCTCCCTTGAAGGAAAGGGGGCGGAACAGTGCTTCTCAAACTGACTGGATCGTGTACTTTGCGATGTTTTGTATCATCAACCGCGTATACCTTAGTACAGATATATACAGATAAAACAAAATTCTCCTTGGGTGATCCCGAGGCAGGTATTTCCAAGATATGTAATACTGGGCTAAATTAATTTGTCAGCCTATTGAAAAACGAGTTTGTTTACACTTCACAAACGTCCAATTGGTTCTTGTGGAAACTCTCCACCTTCCTCAGCTCCCCTTTGACTCACAGTGTTGACGTCAGGCGTAGCCCGCCTCAAACACCAGGCAGCCTGATATGTAGTCCCAAGCTGCCTGCTGGTAGCCTCAAGCCTCCGGCAGCCCGACCGCGGGTAACCTCCGGCAGCCCGACCGCGGGTAGCCTCCGGCAGCCCGACCGCGGGTAGCCTCCGGCAGCCCGACCGCGGGTAGCCTCCGGCAGCCCGACCGCGGGTAGCCTCCGGCAGCCCGACCGCGGGTAGCCTCCGGCAGCCCGACCGCGGGTAGCCTCCGGCAGCCCAGCCCGCTGGTAGCCTCCAGCACCAAGCAGCCTCCAGTACCAAGCTGCCTGCTGGTACCTCAAGCATCAGACAGCCTGTTCATAGCACAAAGAGCCAGACAGCCTGATGCTGTCGTTACCGACTGCCTCACACTCGTATTTCACTTTCTTTGAAAGGCAAAATGGGCTAGGTGACAGACGAGGTCCCAGCAGTACTCCATGATACCAGTGACTGATGATCAAAATCGTGTGCAATAATCTTTACCTATTGCTGAGTTGACAGAATATTTACGTGTTCATCTATACTGAAAAAAACTCTTATAATGAGCACTTAAGAATAATCAATCTACAACACTAGACATTTACCAAGCTTCACCACCACGGCTCTGGGAGCTCCGGGAACCAAGAATCTACTTACACTAAACATGGCTGACATAAATGCAAGTTACAGTATTATACATGCCTGTAATTAGACCCACCACCGCTCCTACACAGGTAACAAAGTTCTACGACTACAGAAAGTACCTCTACTCCTCTGCCATGCTGTGCTGCCCAGAGCCTCGGCTGCTTCACCACCACCACCCCTCCACACCCACCTGCATCCCAGCAGTTAATGCAGCCGACTACGTGCATACATGCATACTGTCTGCAGCTTAGCATACACCAGAGATCGCTTGGGACCGACAGTGAGAAAGCCTGCGCATAACATGCTCCAAGGGGGTATACATCTAATTACTCTTATATACACACATTACTGACAATCATAGTCCAAGAAATGTAATCGCAAATTCTCGGCCGCTGATAAGTGTGCATACATTGTACAGTCAAACTCTCATTATCTACTGCCTCTATATTCACCTGCTTCGGTCTTTCACAGAAGGGGAAACACAAACATGGTCTAAACAGCAACAATCAGCAAGAAACTGAAAAGTTTGCGAGTCTCCCTTCAAGAAAATAATCACACGTGAATAAAGGTACAGTAAATAAGCGAGTTTGAATATTCAAGTTTCCCTGGAGCGTGTTATGGAGAGGCGTTGATCATCGTGGTCTGAACCAACTCTACCCTTCTACTGCTAGTACTGGAGTGGCCATACAACATCTACTCACTTCAAGAAAGAGGCCACGCTCGGCGAACTGTTGACTAGCAATCGCTCGTTTTGCCTGCACCTGTCGATGGTACATAGCATAGTTAAGGCGTTGCTCAGGATACAGGGAGCAGCGCTCCCTGCTGCACCACTATCTAGTGCACTGCTTTAAGGATAAATCTGGAGTGGAGTCCTCTCTAGCAGGCTTCTCCGTGCACTAGTATCGTGAACTTACTTAAATGTACTCTTTAAGCTCACTCTAGTGAATCCCTTTCCAATGCACCATTCCAGTGCACCACTCCAATGCACTGTTCTCCAATGCAACCCATTCTAGTGCACCGCTCCGTAGAACACTTTACTCCAGTGCAGCAGTTGTCACATTTAAAAAAATGTTCGCTTCCCGCCGACCACTAATTCGCCAAACACACAGCAAGTCTCGGCAACAGCGGGAAGCAAACGGAAAAAAAAAACACCATAGATACTCTAACAGGAAATAAATACATATTCACATACATTGCAAACCAAGCGGTATGTATTACCATTGTTAAGAGGTATTTTAATACCAGAGGATGAGGACATGAAAGGCATCAGCACGCGTGTTATAGGTGGAACTGCTTTAGTGGGCAGTTTCCCTAGGTGTAAATTAGTTATGTTAGTGATCTTAGTGTTTTATTACTCCTACTGAGGGCAGAGCTTAGTGGCATGCATAGCAAGGGGCAACATTGGCCTCGTGTGGGTAGGGAGGGTGCTTGTGCGTCGACGTGTGCTACATGTGGTTGCGAGGGGTGGAATCTCGGCTCGTACTCACCTATTTGTGGTGTGTGTGTGTGTGTGTGTGTGTGTGTGTGTGTGTGTACGTACGTACACGTACGTAGTGTGTGTGTGTGTGTGTGTGTGTGTAGCTGATATTAATACACATCTTGCAAGGTCAAAAACAATAAACATGCACATTCCCATGAACTAAGTAACTTTCATATTAATAAAGACATCCTTATTCTAATTATTTGCTAATAAATATTAACTAAAATAATGCAGAGAAAGGCTATTATATTTATACTGTACACAGCTAATATAAACACTGTACCTATTGATAATTTTATTTTTTAGATGTTAAAGACAATCATATTTACATCACAACTAAGGAGAAAAAAATGGAAATTTCGTTCAACATTCTCCAAATTCATTGTCGAACTGTCCTTCGTTAGTACACGTATATGTACATCTGTACATGCGTTCTCACACAGATACACGTTGTACATGTGTACGAAAAAACGCTCATATACAGAGCCAGGAGCTGAGACTCAACCTCAGCAACAGCCGTCAGGCATTAATAGGCCCATAGGAGGAAGTGCACGACACTGGGGTAGTGGAGGCACCGTGACGCCACTCATTCTTAAGACCCTCAGGTACATTAAGTGCACTTGGCACCACAAAGAGCGGCACCAACCACTTGAATAAGTGTGTGATTAAGGGGCAGCACCTGCACAACATCCTCAGTGTGTAACCAAGGTAAAACAACTGCACAACATCCATAGCATGTAATCAAGGGACAACACCTGCACATCATCCATGCTCTTTAGCCATCACACTCCATGAACACTGATAAAGAAGAGTGAAAGAAATGTAGTGTATGCATTCAAGATAATTTGGAGGAGCATATGAGGCGGTAAACTCGTCTGGGCCATTCAACACGAAGTGACGGAGGTCTTACCTGGAGTTTACCTGGAGAGAGTTTCGGGGGTCAACGGGCCCCCGCGGCCCGGTCTGTGACCAGGCCTCCTGGTGGATCAGCCCCTGATCAACCAGGCTGTTGCTGCTGGCTGCACGCAAACCAACGTACGAGCCACAGCCCGGCTGATCAGGAACTGACTTTAGGTGCTTGTCCAGTGCCAGCTTGAAGACTGCCAGGGGTCTGTTGGTAATCCCCTTATGTGTGCTGGGAGGCAGTTGAACAGTCTCGGGCCCCTGATACTTATTGTATGGTCTCTTAACGTGCTAGTGACACCCCTGCTTTTCATTGGGGGGATGGTGCATCGTCTGCCAAGTCTTTTGCTTTCGTAGTGAGTGATTTTCGTGTGCAAGTTCGGTACTAGTCCCTCTAGGATTTTCCAGGTGTATATAATCATGTATCTCTCCCTCCTGCGTTCCAGGGAATACAGGTTTAGAAACCTCAAGCGCTCCCATCTACCTTACGGAAACTGGGTAGAATTGAGAACTTCTTAGGGTGAGTAGTGGACCAGTCCTCTTGCTGCTGAAGAGCTACGATCACTGCAGCCTGTGACGTCAGCGCGAGGCTTCCCGAAATACAGACACTCTTGTGTAGTGTCCCCTCAAGGGAGGTTCCTTGATGCTGGTGAGGGGCTCTTGATCTAGGGAATTGGATCTGTGCTCCGGTTCCCTGAAGTGTGTCTGAATACCTTTCATCCCCCCCCCCATATGCGCTGTATAATCCTACGGGTTAAGCGCTCCCCCATAATTATAATCAACTTATTTCCTCCCACCCCATTTTATACAATTTCCTAGTTAAAAAATATTTTTGGCTATTATTTATTTCATTCAGTACATCTTATTAATCTTCTATTGTCTACATAAAATTCTTTCCTGTAGAATGAAGGCGACTTTTATCTTCTTTTGTGTCCTTTGGAGTTTTTAGTGGTCGATAAACTAGGGTGACCTGACACGCCCCTTGAACCTGCCCTGCTGTATGTTGCTGAGGTGTTGACTGTAGCGCTGACACTTCCACCAAGGCTGAGGGACTGATCTCTAAAAGTTACCTCCACTTTTTTCTACCGTCTCCCGTGTTATAATTGTCTGTAGCTGACCGAAGAAGTCTGCGCAGTTGCAGAAGTTACTTACTTACTGGCCCTGTTCTCCTCCCTTCTATTACCTTACTGTTCTCCTCCCTTCTGTTATTACCTTACTGTTCTCCTCCCTGCTGTTATTACCTTACTGTTCTCCTCCCTGCTGTTATTACCTTACTGTTCTCCTCCCTGCTGTTATTACCTTACTGTTTTCCTCCCTGCTGTTATTACCTTACTGTTCTCCTCCCTGCTGTTACCTTACTGTTCTCCTCCCTGCTATTACCTTACTGTTTTCCTCCCTGCTGTTATTACCTTACTGTTCCCCTCCCTGCTGTTATTGCCTTACTGTTCTCCTCCCTGCTGTTACCTTTCTGTTTATCTCATTATACCCTTAATACCACACCCTACATTGTCCTGTTCTGAAATCAACACATCTAGGCGCTGGCTGGAAGCAAGAACAATTTGGGGAGGTAGGAGGGATAGTCGGGGTAGCAGGGATACTGGTGGGGATGGGGTTATTATGGGGATGATTATGAGAGGGGATTGAGAAGGAGAGTGGGGGACGGGGGGAGAAGAAGAAAGTAGCAGGAAAAGTAGTCGAGAGGAAGTGGCTTGGTGGTTGCCTGCTACTGCCTCACCTCAGAATAACATAATTGCGTAAATGCGTCACACCTTATAGAGGTGACCAGCAAGCTTATGTTTTCTTCACTGTGACGCAGTGCGCCTCATCATTGTGACGCAAAGTGCGTCTCTTCACTGACGCACAGTGCGTCTTCACTATGACGTACAGTGACCAACGATTCTCTGATACAGAGTCGGATCCTGCGTCAAGAACCCCGTAATTTCGTACTACACCCGCTACTGCGTTAAATCTTACGTTAAAGACCCAGTTATACCGTACACAGGTGCGAATGGGGACCTGTATACAAATGCTAATTTACACGTGTTCACACGCACCTGTAAACGTGCTATCGTGTGCCCGTGTGTGCGCGCGTGTGTAAACGATCGCGGAAGCATGTAAACCTGCAAACAGGGACATGTACACACGCGCATAGGAATGTGCGCGAGTGCACATACGCGTACACACACACACACACACACACACACACACACACACACACACACACACACACACACACACCTGGTCAAGCACGTCAAGAAATTAAAGAAAGTGCAAAGGTTTGCAACAAGGCTAGTACCGGAGCTCAGGGGTATGTCCTACGAAGAAAGGTTAAGGGACATAGGACTGACAGGGTTAGGGTAGAGATTTGCCTGTACTTCCGGCCCGGGTCTTTTCCAGATGGTGACACGGCGATAGGACTGACAACATTGTAGGACAGGAGGATCAGGGGAGATATGATAACGACACACAAAGTACTGCGTGGAATAGATAAGGTAGACAGACAGGTTGTTCCAGGGAGGGGACACAGAAACAAGGGGTCACAATTGGAAGCCGAAGATTCAGACGAGTCAGAGGGATGTTAGGAAGTATTTCTTCAGCCACAGAGTCGTCAGGAAGTGGAATAGCCTAGCAAGTGATGTAGTGGAGGCAGGAACCATACATAGCTTTAAGACGAGGTATGACAAAGCTCAGGAAGCAGAGAGAGGACCTAGTAGCGATCAGTGAAGAGGCGGGGCACGGAGCCGAGTCTCGACCCATGCAACCACAATTAGGTGAGTACACACACACTACAGGTGAATACGCACGCGCGGGGACGTGTACGCTTGGCACCATCACTTCCGGTCACGCACCCCACCTTCCGGGCAACAAGGCCACATACGCCTCAGAGGTACGCCAAATTAATTAAACCTTTAACCTCAACGCGACTTACAATCTGAACCTATCTCTCAAGATTTATAGACCTGAGACACACATGCAAGTCACTCCTGTCTACTTAAAACCTGAAGTAACGTATTTATAAGTGAATTTCGTCTAGTTATAATCCAGGAACACTTAACCCCTTTTGGGTCCTGGTTCCTAGTTCATGTGTGCGTCCATGTACACTTGTACTACCCTCACCAGGATGTACGAGGAGTGTAGAATAAACTAGCCTCTTTGGCTAGTACATGTACAGTGACTTGTAGGCAAGGTGGGGAGGGGGGGGGTGTCAGGGGTGCACATGTAAAGTGATCATCTCTGTACAAACCATACCACGGGTGGGGTCTGAACCCGCGGTCAGAGAGTCTCAAAACTCTGGTGCCTGTGCTAACCTTCCTATGGTGTAGAAATATACCTAGTTGGATGAATCTTTATTGAAGCTAACTGGCCCAGTGGCTAACG